GGGAAAAAAAAAAAAAAAAAAAAGAATAATGCAGCTCCTACTGTCCAAAGCGTGATGGAAATAGTTCCATTGATCTGCGGTATAATTGGATGAAGAGTACGGTTGCCTTTTACAGTTGGCAAATGTCAAGCATCAAATCTTCACTTTCAACCTATCTCAGGTTATTGTTCAGTCTTTTGTGCCAAACCCTCTTTCCACTGTTTTAAATGGACAGGAACAAGCAAGGCGCTCATCCTCAACTCCATTTAACAGGAACATATGGAAAAGTCAATATAACCCTCTTCATTTTGGGCAGTAAATTTCAATCATAATACGAGCTCAGACTGTAAAAGCTCAGCAACCCTCCATCTTTTAATCATTCAACAGGTGTTAAAAAAAAGATAGAAATACTAGCACGAGACAACAATCAGAGATCTAACCCAGAAAAAATGGCATTGTACAAATTTTAAAAGAAAATCATTAATACGAGTTATTTACTTCCAGTTCTATACGAAACTACCACATGACTAGTTCCAAATGAATGGAGAGGCAAGAAATCAATTATCAGATTATCAGATCATATCTAACTAAATCAGGGTCATTTACCATTTTGATATTATTCTAACTTGAAAGTAGATAGAGTTCAAGGGCAGAAGCTATGAGTATAATATAAAATTAAAATTTATCATCATACCTCTAGTGTGGCCCACAAATTCTTTAACTGGGGTCATAATATTTCGCATATCCCAAAGCTGGAAGCAAAAGAATACATTAACATAAAAGATAGTTTGAAATCTTTTACAATATTTAGGACTGTAATGTCCGTGGAAATCCTTACCCTGAGAGAGGGAGAATCATCGTCATCTGAAGCAACAACAAGTTGGGTTGCAAGATCAGGATTCCACTGCAGCACGGAGCAGCGTCTTCTAGTGGAATCTGAAAAACTGAGTTGACAGGGGCAACATAAATTTATCAAATGCAACCCAAAATTTTGGACTTCATCCAATTGCATAATTTAAGATTTTTAATTTAATAGTTCATTAGACTTACCTTATAACTGGTTTTTGCTTCTTCAGGTCCCAAACAACTGAATCAAGAAGAGTTACAAACAAAATGTTAGGGAGAAAAGCAATGTTTTAACTCTTTCTTTGAGAATATGATATTTGCTAGTTATTCTCAGTGTAGACATCTTCCCTCCCCTGCCCCTTGTTGTTAAGCTCTTTTTATCATGTGTGTCCAAAATAGTAATCAGTTTACAATAAGTGTCAATTGGAAGAGCTTTTTTGTAGCCTCCTTCAGTATCGAGGTTGAGGCTTCCCTCCCCCTCTTTTTGTAATTTTATTCTCAACTAATTCTGTTTCTTGAAGAATAAAAATTAAATTCAAAATAGTGATAGTAACAAGTTTTCTTCGATCAAGAACAGAACTTAAAAACCAAAGAAAAATGTGCCTACAAAGACAACAACCCAAAAAAATGTATGAAACGGGATTTCTTTCCTCACCTGTTGTTCCATTATATGATGTGGAGGCTAATATATGTTGAACTTTGCTATTCCACGATAAAAAGGAAATTTCACCCTGAGCTGCAGAGCCACTACCCTGCATAAAGATAGAATGAACGACTAAACATTCATTTGATTTGATGGTTATATAACTTGACAGAAGAAAGCAAAGTGAGGACGGTAGCTAGTAGTAATAGCATTATAAGTAGAGCTTTTCCAGGCATGGAAAATATCAAACTCAGCTAACTAATAGTTAGCTAGATCTGTTAGATAGTCCTACTTCGCTGCCCTGAAGAAATTGCTGTGTTTAAACGGGAATAAATCCTTCAAATTACACTTTATTTTATAAGGGACTTTTATATTGAAAATCAGAAAATACATCAAAACTGCACAGAGGGATAAGACATTTCCCTAAGAGACGATCAAAGAGTAACAAAAAGATCCTCCAAAGGGAAATAATCGTAAGAGTACAAGTACCAGCCTTTTTTTTAGGGCAAAACCTTTTTAAATGCAGATTACCAAGAAATAGAAAGAAAAAAAAAAATCACAAAACCCATTAAAAGAAGAAATCTTTCTCCACCATTACAAAGATTCTCATTTCTCTCCAACAAAATAATCTAAAAGGCTAAAAGATGGCACAGAAAAGTCAATTTCAGAACCCAAAAATAAAGTTTTGAACTCTAAAAGCATCCAAAAATGAGGCTTGGGATAGACCTCAAGAAGTCTTGAGAAAGCTTTCACCTCCTGCCGAATCAAAAAGCATCAAGAATGACAAGGGAAGTCTTTGGTGTATGACAACCTCTACAATTCTTATCAATGCCAATATGTCCAGAACCTCCAACTTCAAAGTGAAAGGTAGACTGACTTGCCTTCAATCACACAAAAAAAAAAAAAAATAAACAAAACAAGCTTGTCATCCTCCATCCAACTTTGGGGGGATCCTGTATCTAACTCTATTTGGAAGACGGTGGTTGGCAGAGTCTAACAAAATTGACCAAATGAAAGGAACCTACTATTTCCAAAGCATAGACGGTGGTCCTATCAAATGTTCCCACTAATTTCCTTCAATTGTTCAAAGTTTCTTAGTCTCCATTCCCTTAAATCCTTTATGATTTACATTGGCGTTTTTTTGACTACTAGATTAACCCATGGTGGTTGCTCTCCTGGTAAAGATATCAAGCAACTCATCAGGGATATTATTTGGTGGGACCAAATTTTGGACATGTAGAAGTTGATCTCTCACAAAAAGTCTGGGTGGACTGTCCAACCCTACAAAATTTAGTCTCTTACCAAAAAGAAAAGGTACAACTTAGAGACATATAATAACCGATCTAATGGCGGGTAAATACGGTTTATTGCAATATTTCTCAAGAAGTTGATGTCAACAATAAATTGTGAACCGTAGTTTACAATTTTCATAGACAGTAATAAAAGAAAGACTGTGATGCAAGACATAATAGATTGTATTCCACAGAAAAAGATTGCATCAGAAAAGGGGACAAAACATCATCCCCAAAACAGCCAAAACTATATATAAGAGCACCCCTCCAATTGGTGTCAACAAGAAAATTGGAGAGTTGCAAGTATGCTATAATAAAAATTATACAATGCAACAAAGTCGAACCTTCAGAGGTGGAAAATGAATAGGTTGTGCTGGGTTGGCTAAATCCCATATGCAGATTTCACCATCATCAGCACCGGACGCAAGCAAGTTTGGTGTAATTGTATTGAACTCTAAACCACGCACCTGCAAGAGGAAAATATTATAGCTCTCACTATGAGAAATTTTACAGTACAATAGTATTGTTAAGAGTCCATAAACTCATGTGAGCATTGCAAAATTTGCAAGAACTTACAGGCCCTTTATGCCTTGATAGATGTCCAACTAGAGGAGTTTCACCTGCCTCGGGACTGAAAAATGCAGGTGAAGAAGAGTCAAGACTACAAATCAATAGAGAAAGCTGAACATTACACTGAGAACAAAGGTGGGATGACTGTAAAATTGAACTAATAAACTGTATCTAGCAAAAAAAAAAAGACTTTTTCAGAGAGTGGAAACTTTACTGTTCATTTTTCAAATATGAGCATATTTCTATCTCTTAGACATGGTTCTCACAAGGAGTTTCAGGGATTTCCATCGATAATAAATCAAAAGAAATCTTTACAAGCAGTCATTAGTAAGCCTCTTGACCTATCCATGACTTCAAAGTACTTAAAAGGGTTAGGCAAAAAGGAAACTCGATAAACAACTTAGCACACTTTCAGATTCCTATTTGAACTGATGTTTTGATATAATGAATGTTATGTAACTCTTCTGATCCATCCACCTTCCCAGGGTCCAAATAGAAAATTAAACCAACTCAGAAACTTAAAGCAATATGGATCTAGTGGCCCGTGAATCACTAAAGAGAAAATTTGGGAGAGATTCTTCATCGATCTAGTGGCCAATCACTGACCAAATTCCATTTTTCTACACTTGTAGTCTCCTCAAGTTCCGGTGCTCAGGAAGAAAGGAATTGAGGAAATAATTTCTGGGAGGCTTTAATCATTCCCGAACCCCTCCTCCCTCTTCTTTCCAGTCGAGACTGATACTGGGAAAGGATTTCCACCTGCTAGCTAGGAGGATTCCTCCCCTTTCCTTTCATCGAGACTTTCTTTTTGGAGACCTGGACCATCATTGTTTGAAAGAGTCATCTACTCTGGCTAACCGTTACATCAATTTGATTGTTCGTAATTACTCAATTCTTACGCTGCATACTTCTACTCAAATTGTCAAAACCAACTCCTGTCTAACACTCAGAAGTGGCAATTGAAGTTACATTTCAATACTTAGTTGAAGCCAACTCCCCGAATAAGCACCCGTTAACTAAGAATCAATAAACTCTATTCTCCCAAATTACCAGCAACCGAAAGGACAACGATGCATTAACTCCACTTGGGCACAAATACAATCCAAATCCTTAAGGAACGAACTGATAAAAGAGAAATGAAAAACCATATGCAATTACCGGATCAGCGCAAGAGGGTTCCAAATATCAATGTTCCCATCGACGAGTCCACCGGCAATGAGGCCGAGAGAAAATTGTTCAGAGCCCGATCCGTTCTTTCCCCAGGAGAGGCGATTGAAGCGTTCGGAACTCGGAGAATCCCCAATTACAGGAAAGTCCTTATCATCCGACTGGAAATCAAGCTTGAAGATCTCGAGATTGGCAGATGAGCTGAATGACAGATCCACAGCACCCGCCATCGTTCCGGCGGCCATGTACGGCCCGTCAGGTGCTATAGCAACGGACGCCGATCGATTCACACCCTTTATACACGCCATTGAAAACCCAAAAACAAACTACACCCAACTGAATTTGTATCACCAATCCACGTAAACAATTACAACCATACGAAATGGAGAAGAATTGATGGGCGGATCTGGGGGAAATTTCAGAAATTTTTTGAAGATTGTACGAGAATTTTGAGGGTCGTTGTTGATGATGATGGTGGTGTAGTTTCGATCTGATCTGTGAAATGCAAGTGAAAGTGAGAGACTCGCAATTCTCTCTCTCTTTCGCTTCCTCCGTGAAAATTTCACACACAAAAATGATCAAATTTTGGGATTTTCAAGCTTTTATTTTTGCCGTTTTCGGGAGTTTAATTAGCGGGTTTCAGGAGGTTTAATCCTCTGTGAAATGAAACACTGTAATTTATGTTAGTCAACCTTTCTATCCAATCATAATTTGACACGTGTATTATGAGCCCTTATTTTTCTATGGGCCAAAACTCTTGGCCCAAACAAAATACATGGGCTTTTTTCATGAAATTAAGACACACTGTATGTGGTTTCACTTGTGGGTCAAACCTAAGCCAGCCCATTAATGTAACATTAAAGCCTTTGCAGTTTTTTTTTTTTTTTTTTTTTTTTTTTTTTTTTTTTTTTTTTTT